ATTTACATTTTTTTTTCATCTTTTTCTTGTTTTTACATTTTTCAGATGTAGAATTTATATTTCCCTGGGATTTCAGAAATGTAAGACAAGTCCATGTTTTCACTTTCCTAGGCTTTAACCAAACTAGACCTACAAGAAAGCCATCTCTTAAATGTTAAAATTCTGACTTGTCCACTAGATGATTTTGGGGGCAAGTGATTGGAATTTGCTGTATATTCAGAGAAGCTTCAAACCCAAGATACTGGCCAAAACGTTGAACTTTTCTTTTACAATTAAACTCTACTTGGTATGTGCTCCTACGCTTTTTAAGTTCAAGTTCACCTTTTAATTTTGTGTAATATAGATGTCCTCTCACAAAATGATTTTCTTTTTAAATCCCATTTGCTTGTGTTATTTAACACTTTTCTTGTTATTATAATTTGTAGGCCTGCTATGTTAATATTATTAACAATTTCACACCTGTAATCCCAGCACTTTGGGAGGCCCAGGCAGGTGGATCACGAGGTCAGAAGTTCGAGACCAGCCTGGCCAACATGGTGAAACCCCGTCTCTACAAAAAAAAAAAAAAAAAAAAAAAAAAAGCCAGGCATGGTGGTGTGTGCCTGTAATCCCAGCTACTCTGGAGGCTGAGGCAGGAGAATTGCTTAAACCTGGGGCGGGAGGAGGCAGATTTTGCAGTGAGCTGAGATTGCTCCACTGCCCTCCAGCCTGGGCAACAGAGCAAGAGTCCGTCTCGAAAAGAAAAAAATGATTCATCGACTCTCCTGATTATTCCTTTATTATGTAGGGCTATCTAGTATTTTTATCTACCAGGAAATGAGAAATTATTTTTGCTTAGATAACACTCTGCTTACACATTCTGCTCATTTATCAAATGTCTGAAATGCATAATTGCACCCTCTTATATTTGGGTGTCATCATTAGTGTTAATTAATTGCTGCATTTCTTTTTTTTTAAATCTGATTCCTACATGTGACCATTGGTGCTAGACAGTTTTTACTATTCCTAGTACCGAACTACTTTTGGTACTACTGGTTTACTTACAGATCCCTGATTATACAGTCAGAAAGAAAGACATGACTACATTTTATAAACATACATATAATAAGAAAAACTGACACAAGAATAGAAAACCAAAGGCCACATGCGCTCACTCATAAGTGGGTGTTGGACAATGAGAACACATGGACACATGGACAATAAGAACAATGAAAACATGGGAAGGGGAACATCATATACCAGGGCCTGTTGGGGGATGGGGGGCTAGGGGAAGGATAGCAGCTGGTGGGTGTATAGGGGAGGCGTAGCATTAGGAGAAATACATAATGTAGATGACAGGATGATGGATGCAGCAAACCACCATGGCACGTGTATACCTATATAACAAACCTGCACGTTCTGCATGTGTACCCCAGAACTTAAAGTATAATTAAAAAAAGGGGGAAAAAAGAAAATTAAATACCCATATATTAACTATGAAGCCAATATAAATTAAAGATCTTCTACCCAATTTGTATTTTTTAATATCCTTTATTTTTTCTTTTCTAGAAAAAAGTTAACCTTCAATAGTCTCAAATTATTCTATTTAGCCTTACTGATTACTTTTTTTTTTTAATGCTCATATTGTCAGATTACCTAGCGAGAAGCCATCGAAGTTGTTTTCCTTATCTAGCCTTTCCAGACAGCCACTGACGATTTCTTTTAGGTGAACTTTGTATTCTTGGCAACAAAAGGATTGTTCCAGAAACTTTCTGTTTTGTCTTTCTTCTTTTCTTTCTTTTTTTCCCCTTTCTCTAATAAGTAAAGGACCTTGATTTTTATTAACATTATTTATTAGTAGATATATGGCAGCAAGTATCCAGCCTCTAGGATTGACCAATATCAGTGCTGGCTGTCTGCAAAAGGACTGTTGCTGCTATTGGTGCCTTTCAGGGAGAGATCTGGAAAAGACTGTTTTAGATTTATGAATTTACCATTGATTATTTTCTGTAACGTATCGTGTTGCTGCATCTTCTCTCCTTTCATTATGAGGTTTCACCAGCTTCAAAGATTCTCCTCTACACTAACAAGAAAGTTGCTTTGTAAGCACAATATCAAAGCAAGGCAATTTAGAATAAGTAGATTTAGGAAGGAATTCATCTAGACCAGTGGCAAATGGAACCCTGCTAGTCCAAGTGTCAAGTGTCACCTCCAAAAGGAGAATAAAATTGGAACAATGTAGTGAATTTTCCAAATTTAGTTCACTTTATTGGTGTTGCTGTCTCATATGAAATGTTAGAATAGCAGTGGCAGAGATTTTAATATTTCCCTGTTAAAAAAATAAAACCTTTTAAAATTTTATTTCAAACTGTGAGTGAATGCATTAATTGTCAAAATTCAAAACCGGGTTGGACAACCTACCTTGAAAACATCCTGTATGCCTCTGGATCTCAGGAATTGCTGGAAACAGGAACAAGATGACATTTAAAAATTTTTAAAGTAGGCTTATTCTGGTCTTGGCTACACAATGAAATCCATAGCCCCTATGATGACAGTGTTTTGCATCTTTCAGTATCTATCACCAAACAGAGACTTTTTTTCATTTCTGGGATGGGGCTTTGGTCACCAAGTTTGGTTAAGATGTCCGTCTTGGATCATTCACCAAGGAGAAGGAGTTTCACTCATGTACAAATCTACTAGCTCCCTTTATAACTATGTTGATTGGGAATGGTGGTTCCAATTAAAAAGGAGAAATGCTGTGAAAACCTTGTTCTAGAAGTTTACAGTGTCTACGATATCCTCATTTGGTATAATAAAAAATGACAGTCCTATGCCAGGCATTCATTTATTTCCTTTGTTCTGTTCTTCATTGCTTTCTAAGTCTTGTTGGTTGTATTAGTTTGCCAGGGCTGCCATGACAAACTACTACAGACTGGGTGGCTTAAACAACAGAAATTTATTTTCTCACAGTTCTGGAAGCTGGAAGTCCAAGATCAAGGTGATGGCAAATTTGGTTTCTCCTGAGGCCTCTCTCCTTGGCTTGCAAATGGCCTATCTACCTTCCCTCTGTGAATTCACAAGGTTCTTCACATCTCTGTGTCTTCATCACTGTTTCTGTGTGCTGTCTGTGTCCTAATCTCTTCTTCTTACAAGAACGCCAGTCAAATTGCAGTGCCCACCCATATGACCTTGTTTAACCTCTGTTCTCTCTTTAAGGGCTCTGTCTCCAAATGCAGTCATATTCTAAGGTGTTTGGGGTGAGGATATTTTATAAATTTTGGAAGGATACAGTTAAATCCAATGAATTCAAAATCCAAGTGTAAAATTACTTACCCCAATTTGAAATTGGATAAATGCCTATGCCTTCACTATAATATGTATTTTTGACTAATACGTTATTGACTACCTGATTAAGATTCTCTCATTTGGATAGTTTGATAAACACTCATATCAGTGTTTTCACAAAAATCCCCTTTTTAAAAACTTTCACTTTTCCACAACTTCAATTATGTTTTGTTGTCCTTATTTTAATCTTCTGTTTTGCAGTTTTAGTATGACAGCATATCTTTTGTTGCCTATATTTTCTCATATTTTTAATGTATATAGGTAAATAACTTAATCTCACTGAACTATCGCTGACACTGTTTGGAATAGAGCTTCCAATAAGCAAGTGTTATTCGTTATAGTTTAAATTATTCATGACCTTTATTTGGAGAAAGAAGCACTTAGATTTGGATATACTTACTATCTTTCAAACCATTGTATGTGCAATATTCATGGATCACACATATGACATGTTTTAAAGTTTAATAATGTTTAATTTGAATTATTAAAGTAAAAGTGGTTTATTTGTTTATTTAAAAGTCCCAGTGTCCTACTTTTAATCCCAAGAACTAAAGTGTTCACTGTCCATTTGAAAATATCATTCGCTTTCCTTAATGAATACTACTTTAGTTACAAATTATGGTAACATTCAAATTAGCTGAAAAGTGACCTGAGATGGTGTGGCATCATTTAGTATTTAGTCTGTTTTTCTTTTCTTTTTTTTTTTTTTATGTCTTTGACGTTCTAGTTTTTAGTACATTTGTCATTTCATTGTTAGTCTCTAAATGTAAGTTCTTACTTTTCTTAATACATTTATCACCTATTTATATAAACAAATATACAAATAAGGACTTTATTCCTTTCTCAGAAATTCCTGCCTCTGCACCTCAGCACATTACCATCTCTTCTCAAGACTTCTCAGTGTAGCCTTCTAGTTTATTTTGCTGTTTATCCTCTTGAAAATAAAATAGGAGACATAATCTCAGCTCTGATATATTATGGTATAATGCAAGTCAATAATTAATTTTAATTGGATTAATATAGATTGTTTTTCTGCCCATTCCTCCTAATGTAAAACAAATAATTGGAAAATAGTAGCCCATTTTTTACTTTCAAACATGGCCTAAATTAATATTTCACAGTTGTCACCATAAACAAAAGTTGTTTGAAAAACAATTCATTAAATGTGTTAGAAGAATGGTACCTATACTTGAAATATAAATATTAGAAAAAGTAACTAAAGTTTCATTTCACAGGCTTCTATGTGCTTGAAAAACATTTATATGCTTTTTGTGTATTTGCAAGGTGAAAATTCCTTTTTAATATCACTGAAGATGCTTTTATTCATGTAAACACTTGACTGTACTTCTCATATTAACAAATCATTTCCTGATTTCTAATATCTTTCATATCTATCCATATGTACCTCCATTTAATTATAACTTACATACTATCAATAAAAAGGAAAAAATAAATGTGCAGATAATTGGACAAGTTAATAATATTTAGAATAAGTCTTGGAATTTTTTATTGGACTGATAATTTTAAAGTCCATAGGTATCAAATAATTTCTGGGATTTAGTTAGAACTTATCATTCTGATTTTGAAGTTATTGTTACTTCATGACTTCCACATATGAGTGTTTCCTCAGTTACTCGGTGTTTTGGTTTCTAATTGTTGATTTTGTTTTTCTTCAGGATGTTTTGAATAATTTGGGATCTTGTGAATTAGATGAAGATGATCTAATGCTTGATCTTGAATTTTTAGAGGAACAGAATCTTCACCCTTCTGGTAAGTGTGAAAGAGATGCATAATATCATACAACTCCTATCCTGGTTGGTAGCTTTCACTGACAGTCTAAACACGGTTAAGGCTCCTTTCAGTCTTTTCAGGCCTCAGATTTTATAGTCTATATGCAAAGAACATGGTAGGTACCATGGAGACATGATTTTGTTGGCTTAAATGATTTTAAAGTCTTTTATGGAAATATACATCCAGTTGAAAGATAACTATGAATTTAAAAAAACTATAAAAAAATCTTTCCAAAATAGAAAATATTCTAGTTAAATACTTAACAAACAGGTTAATGTTTTCTTCTGTTTTGTGGACAACAACAATAATTATAATCTCACTTTTTATTTATTTATATAACCAAATGGAAGTTTTGTGTATCTAAGATTTTCCATTCCAAATCTTAGCCACTTCCTACATAGGTTAATGTTGATACAATAAGGTTGACCTCAAAAGTAATAATTACCAGTGGCAGTAAAAAACACATACTCATAAACACATACACACACATAGAATTATAATGGAGGTAAGTAAGTTTGTGATGAATGACTTGAGGGAGGCTGATATATTTATAATAGTTTAAATTTACATTAAACCATAAAATGTCATGTCTCCAAATTCCAGAATTACTCTCATTAAAGTAGGCTATAGAAATTATTGGTTGTCCATTCAAATTTAGATATTTGACAGTAAAGGTAAACTTTTACACTTACTTTTTTGTTGCTAATAATGTCTTTAAGTAAGTCATTTTCAAGTGGATATAGCATTAAACTAAAGCTTTAGAACCTTAAGACCTACTGCATACATTTAAGAAAATCAGTCTCTTATATGGTAATGTCTTCATTTTTAACTTGTGGAAATTAGACATAACCTCTGTAGTTATTTTTAGTTGTAAAACTTTATGATGAATTTTTGTTTACGTAGTATATTTGGTTAATAGATAATAGCAATTGTCAAAAGAAGGCAATAACAATGTTGATATTTTCTTATACTCTTTTAGGCTAATATCAAAAAAGAAACTGCATTTAAATTTTTTTTAGATGAATACCAATTGAGAATAAAAATTTATTGGGATCGTTTTCTAGTAGTCGATTTGACAGATATCCTTCTAAAAATGTAGACTTTCAGACTTTTATGCAGATGGCTTTTACAACTTAGACCCAACAACTTAACTTCTAGATATCTAATTCTATCATACTGGCAAAAGACAAAAAAATACATGCATATAACTATTTACTGCAAAATATTTATGATGGAAAAATATTGGAAGCACCTGAAATGCCCATCAATAGGACACTTATTGGATATACAATGGTATACCAAACAGTCATTAAAAAGAATGAGGAAGGTATCCTAATCTGCTGTGGCATTATTGTAAAGACATATCGTTTGGTTTGGTTTTGAGATAAGATCTGGCTCTGTTGCCCATTCTGGAGTGCAGTGGCATGATCTCAGTTCACCAGAACCTCTGCCTCCTGGGCTCAAGTGATTCTCCCATCTTGGCCTCCCAAGTAGCTGGGATTACAGGTCCCAGCATGTTACCGTGTCTGGCTAATTTTTGTATTTTTAGTAGAGACAGGGTTTCACTATGTTGCTCAGGCTGGTCTTTAACTCTTATGCCCAAGAGATCCATTTGCCTCAGTCTCCCAAAGTGCAGAGATTACAAGTTTGAGCCACCACTCACAGCTGATTGTAAGGATGTATTGTTGATAGAGAACTTTTCTAGGATGCATTAGATGGGGAATACCAAAATCAAACCCACCGATCAATCCCTTAATATCACAAAAAGTAATAACTATATACTTTGCCCCTCTTGATGTAATACTGATTGAAGTACAATAGGACAACCTCTGAAATTTTCTTGTCTTCGCCCCTCCTTCTTTTCCCCCTCCCAGAATAAATAATCCATTCAAATACTTCAAACTTTGATTTTATAGGAATTATTGGATTGGGTGGATAGAAAATGTTAAATGTCATGAAAAGATTGTGGGCAACCAAATACAGGATTTGGATATTCTGCAAGATAAATAGTCTGGTTTCTTCAAAAGATAAATAGCATGATAAACTAGGAGGAGTGGGAGTTGTGGGTTAAAAGAGGCAAACGCAATTGACATTCTTGTTGGTATACTTATTTGAACTTTATAAACTCTTCATATAAATTTATTTCTGAGTTAATCAGATAAATTAGAGGATTGACTGTTATTGCAGAATTATAGTGAATTTTATTGGGTTTTGTAATGGTATTTTGTTTTGTTTTTTTCAGTAAAACTTTTTATAGAGATATGTGTGGTGGTTCCAATATTGTATCTGGGATTTGCTTTACCAACAAGTATGAGTAGGAGAATAGATGAAACAAAGTAGACAAATTCTTAAAACTTATCAAAGCTGGGCAATAGTTGCATGGGGTGAAAAGTTCATGAATTAATTATACTACTCTGCCTGTTTTGTATATTTTTGAATATTTTCATAGTAAAAAATAAAGCAACAATTTTAAAAAACACTGCGGTTAATGTAGCAGTCTCAGTTGTATAGGGTAGTCAGTGATTTAACTATTTAAAGACTTATTTAACTGTGTTTACTTGAGGATAAAAAATTAACCTTTTTAAACTTTAATCTCTCCTTTACAAAGTAATAATAATACTGTATAATTCATTAATTTATTTTAAACAAAAATGACATAGTATTTCCAATGAATCTGCTGAGTCTACTTTAAGGTGTAGTAGGTTGCTTAGTTAAAGCTCAAACCAGGGTACTTGATGCATCAACTGAGTTATATAAATTGTTCACAAGATAAATGGTATTAGCATGCATGCTTTAAGTGCAATTCTAATAGATAAAATATTACTTAGAGTTACCTTGGATAGTTTAGTGTCACTTAGTAAAATGTCTTTTGAAAACCTATTTCATTTTAGATGCCATGTTATGTGGTTTTTGAAAAGCAGCAAATGTATGTTTATATAGTTTACCTGAGAAAGAACTACAGGAACTGCCAAAAGGATCTCTAAATCTTGAAAGAAATTCTCAAAATATACCAAAAAAAAAAAAAAAAAACCTTCTTAAAGCATGAATGTCACAGAACCTATATAGCAGTAACGAAATGAAAAAGAAAAAAAAAACATATGCAGGCAACAAACAGCATGATGAATAGAATAGTACTTCACATCTCAGTACTAACATTGAGTGTAACTAGCCTAAATGCTCCACTGAAAAGAGACAGACTGGCAGAATGGATGAGGATTCACTAACCAAGTTTGTTCTGTTTTCAGGAGACTTGCCTAACACATAAGGAGTCACATAAACTTAAGGTAAAGGGGTAGAAAAAGATATTCCATGCAAATGGACAACAAAAGTGAGCAGGAGTAGCTATTATTATATCAGACAAAGTGAACATTAAAGCAACAGCAGTTTAAAAAAATGGAGATATTATATAAGGATAAATGGAGTAGTCCAACAGGAAATATTACAATTCAGTATATATATGCACCTGGAGCTCCCAAATTTAGAAAGCAGTTACTACTAGACCTAAGAAATGAGATAGATGGCAACACAATAAAGGTGAGGGACTTCAATACTCCACTGACAGCATTAGACAGTTCATCAAGACAGAAACTCAGCAAAGAAACAATGGACTTAAACCATATCCCAGAACAAATGAACTTAACAGATATTTACAGAACATTCTACCTAAAAACTACAGCATATATATTGTATTCATCAGCACATGGAACATTCTCCAAGATAGATCATATGATAGGCCACAAAACATGTCTCATTAAATTTAAGAACATCAAAATTATATCAAGTATTTCCTCAGACGACAGTGGAATAAAATTGAAAATCAATTCCAAAAGGAACCTTCAAAACCATGCAAATACATGGAAATTAAATAACCTGCTTTTGAATGATTATTGGGTGAACAATGACATCAAATGGAACTTAAAAATTTTTTTTGAACTGAATAGTAGTAATATAACCTGTCAAAACCTCTGGGATACAGTAAAAGCAGTGCTAAGAGGAAATTTCATAGAATTAAATGCTCACCTCAAAAATTCTGAAAGAGCGCAAATGGATTAAGGTCACACCTCAGGGAACTGGAGAAACAAGAACAAACCAAACACAAACCCAGCAGAAGAAAAGAAATAATGAAGTTCAGAGCAGAACTAAATGAAATTGAAACAACAACAACAACAACAACAACAACAACAACAACACAAAAGATAAATAAAACAAAAAGCTTGTTCTTTGAAAAAAATAAATAGACCATTAGTTAGATTAACCAAGAAAAGAAGAGAAAAGATCCAAATAATCTCAATTAGAAACAAAACAGGGGATATTACAACTGGTAACACCGAAATACAAAGTATTATTCAAAGCTACTATGAGCACTTTTATGCACATAAACTCGTGGAGATGCATAACTTTCTGGAAATAATCCTCCTAGATTAAATGTGATCCTCCTAGATTAAACCGGGAAGATTCAGAATCTCTGAAGAGAACAATAAGAAGCAGCGAGCTGGAAATGATAATAAAAAAATTGTCAACAAAAAAACTTCAGGACCAGATGGATTCACAGCTGAATTCTATCAGACATTCAAAGAAGAATTGGTTCCAATCCTGCTGACACTATTCTGAAAGATAGAGAGGGAGAGAATTCTCCCTAAATTATTCTATGAAGCCAGTATCATCCTAATACCAAAACCAGTCAAAGACATAACAAAAACAGAAAACTACAGACCAGTATCCCTAATGAACATAGATGCAAAAATTCCCAGCAAAATACTAGCAAACTGAATCCAGCAGCATATCAAAAAGATAATCCACCATGATCAAGTGTACTTCATACCAGGGGTGCAGGGATGGTTTAACAGATGTAAGTCAATAAACGTAACATGCCACATAAACAGAATTAAAATCACATATCACAGGTCATCTCAATAGAAGGAGAAAAAGCCTTTCACAAAATCCAGCATCCCTTTATGATTAATGATTAATATCCTCAG